TAGCTACATGGTTTTGCAACAGTATTTCTTGCCTTGGCATACCTCTTTGAAAATTATCCTTGGAAGAAGAGATTTCTGTCGTATATTCTCCTCATCAAATGAGATGTGATTTTCATTATTTTGCTTGAATATTACAAAATGAAAGAAATTACTTGATTGGTTTATGGTGCTGATTCAGCATTTTCTGGCCTAAAAATGACCTGGATGACAGAGTGGGATTCCAGCATGCAATAATGGATGCTTTATTTGGTGATAAGAAAGTCTCTTCTTCTGACTGAGAAGAAGAGAATGAAAAATATTTCTCTTATTAGGTGATTCAGTACCCAGATATTGACAGACAAATTAATTTGAAATACTTCTTCAGTTGCAGAACCTGCTAGCAGGCAGAAATTAGGGGAGGATAATGGCCACAGCTTTCAAGTGGTGCATTTATGAAGTGTACTACAGGAGTGCTGGTAGATGGGGAAGAATTTATATTTTATCTTCTTACCCAGTGATAGGATCTTATGTTCCAGGTTAGGCTGCAGTGTGGGAAGCAGCTCAAAGCCCACCAAGGCCTCCAGGAGCTAACCCCTGCTCCGTCATGTATTTAGTACCTGGGAACTCAAACTACAGGAAGGATTACAGAGGAAGATATAAAATTATTGTATTTTTTGACTGAAAATTACGGCCAGGAGTCAGTCTGGGGATTCTTGCTCTTCATGGTTGTCAATGGGAAGGAAAGATGACACTGGTGTTCACCTCCAGGAGTGAACACCGGAGAAGCCTGTGGGAAAAATGGCTTCACACAGTAGGACAGTTGGGATTTCTCTTCAGTGCAGCAAATGGGTTCAGAAAATTATCCAACCTCTCCACGTGTACAAATCTGGGCTAAATTCTGTCCTTGGAAGCAGTGGAGACCACTTAGTATTTTATAGGGCCAAGCTGTAAGGAGAGGGAAGAGAGAGCAGCCCTATTGTTCCCTGAGCCCCACTTTTTATCTTTGTTTCCATTTGAAACCCTAATCATAAAACTGCCTGCAGAGCAGTTGCCTTGCTGTTCCTCTAAATGAGAATTCCAGCTTTTATGCTAATTCAGTTTCAGGTTTCTTTGAACCTGCAGTTTATGGGCCTCTGCTTAAAACTGCAATCTGTTCTGCATAAAAGAAGGGATTACAAACGGGTTTAGTTTTGCGAATGCTGCAGAAAAATAAAAATAATAAAAAAAAAAAGTTGCACTGTCATTAATATGCTCTCGCCAAAGTTTTGTGCTCTGTCAGTTGAAAAGCGTTATTACATGGAGACTTAGCTAGGGATGTTCTACATCCAGTTTCCTTCTAAAAGGGGTATTTGCTGTTTGTGTCACCCTTTCCCCACAGGAGTGCTCTGTCCCTGCTGGAAGGGGTGTTGAAGGAGCACCAGGAGCACCCACCCCAGGGCTGGGCTGCACACAAACATCCCTGCCCAACCCAGCAGAACCTGCCCTCACCACCATGTACTTTTACTGGCATCTGTCATGACCTTTTTACAGCCTAAGCCAGGGGTGAGGTCACTGTTGAGAACAGGTCCTTTTCTTGAACCTCCTAAAGTGTTGAGTTTAAGTACCTTCTGGTTGGGACATTGTGCCATGGCTTGTGTTCAGAGTCATAAACCTCTCCTGATAGCTCCATAAATTGTTTTCTTGGGGAAAAGACCCTGCATCTCCTACCCAGTAATGGACAAAATCGTGTATGTTTCCAGAGCATTATGGAGGACTTTATAAGGCACAATAATCACGCTCCAAACTCAGACACCGTGCTGTCTTCTGGGAAGGTTAGCAACTTAATGGAAATATAAATGTTTCCAGGCTTTGACAGAATACCAAAGAATTGGAATATCCAGTTTTCATGTTGCCAGGAAAAAAAGCTGCAGAACCTTCCAGGTGAGGTGAGGCTTGCCATGAATAATTTAATCCAATATAATCTGCTGTAATTTCAATATTCGTTTGGTCCTTGTGCCAGAGATGGGTAATTCTTCTTTGGAATTACTCTATGACTTGGAAACAAATGTCTGCTTCCCTGCCTGCTGTCTGGGCAGCTTTAGGTCATTTTTATAAAATACTTGGATCTGAAAACCTCTTCCAGAGAGTGAAAGATCTTGAAATTACTTTTGATCCGAGTTCAGTGCACTTCATTTGGCTGTTGTTGTGGCAGAAACAAATGTCAACGCTGACAGAGACCACAGACAGATGAAAAAAATCCTGGCAAAGTCCCACATAGATAAGAGACAGAAGGTTTCAAAAGCCTATCCAGGCATAACCTAAAACACAGGAAAATATTGCTGTCAGGAAAAGGGGAAGCTTAATCCAAAGGCCATTGAAATCACTGAGGGGAGAAAGGGTCCCTTTGATTTAATTTGGCTTTGGGTGAATTTCCAAACTCCAAATTTCTCATTCAGAATTACACAACACATTCTGTGCATGTACAATGTTGTAGCAGGAAAACAGAGGTCCTCAACTTGTCTCTAAGGCACGAATAATGAGCATAATGAGGCCCAGAGCCCTGCCAATAAACCCTCACAGCCCCAGGGAGATGGGCAGGTAAATGCATTTCTGATTCTGGGTATGCTGAGATTTCAGGTGTGGCATGTGGTTAACGTTGGAAAAATCCAGTACGGACAAGTCTGTAGTTTAATCCTGGCTAAATTTATCAAATTAAAGTCTTGTGAGGAGCCTAGGCTTTAATTAGACCTGTTCTTACCATGTCAGGATGTGGAAAGTCTTGACCAAGGTGCTCATAGAGTGTATGAGCTGCCACACCTTGGTATTGTGCATTTAATTCCTCGTCCAGGTACAGCCTCACTGTCAGTCCCAGAGAGCTCCAGTTGTTGTACAGAGAACACTCTGCCAGTTTATTGCCTTTATTAATTTATTTTTGGTGGAGACTGGAATCTGCACTCAACCCATCCATTTCCTTTGCTGAGCTCTGAAATAGCTGATGGGCTGCAATGGCTTTTGGCCACTGTCCACTGTTGATTTCAGAGACCAGACCTGAAGACACCTCTGTTGGGTTCCTAGAGGAGGAGATGGAAACCACCTCTCTGATGGCACGAGATTATCTTTGCAATATATTAGATGCAAATATACATCTATTAAATGCAAAAACCTGTGCAATTTTAACAGCTGAAATCCATCCTCAATTATGCTGTGGAAATCTAGGGATAACCCTGCTGAGGTGGACAGCCCTGGAGAACTCATTTCCATTGCTATAACCAGGATCTGAGGTTTGCCACAATTCTTTCATTTTGGCCACAATTCTTTCATTTTCCAGTGGAGACCATTTGCCACAGTTTTACCCAAGCATTCCCACTGTGGATCAGCCATGTCAGGAAAGCACTGTGGTGTCTGCAGACTGAATGTGGAGCTGTGGTGGGTGCCTCTGCCTCTTGTTGTCATTTGATCTTCCCATGCAACTGCCCCAGCAGAAACCACCACAATCAGTGGAACTGTACCTCAGAAAAGACTCTTGGAGAAGCCACTGAGAGGGAAAACTGTTCTTAAATGGATCATACAGTGGTGGAATGAGGAACTAATGGGAAATTATTTGCATAAAATCCTGTAGTTCTACATCAGTAGTTGGTCAGAAGGTGTTCTAATGAGTTTTTCCTTAAGTATGGCACTTGTTCTTGTGTGGACAGTTCAGACCATGCTTTCTCCATTCCCCTCACACGCTGTGGGGTTTGCTGTGGGCAGGGCCAGCAGAGCCACTGCAGCGTGGCCGTACCCTGGTCACTGTGACACTGCTCGGGGACAGCTCAGAGCCACACACACACCTCGCTGCCCCAGTCCCTCATCATCTCACATCATCCCTGTCCCCGAGGTGAGCCTGGAGTGGGCCAGGACATAAACGTGTCTTTCCAAGCTCCCACCGGATTTTGGGTGTGTAACTCTTCTCCTGGCTCCGGTGAGGCCGACCAGGCAGCCACAGCTCTTGCTCTGCTCTTGTTTTCTGGCTGGTGTAGGTAGTTCCCATCTTTTCCTTAGGAGAGTCACCTTCTACAGGCTGAGCTCTGCCACAGGGGTTGGGTGAGTTGGGCTTGTCAACCCTGTTTCTGAGGATTTAGCTCAAATCCAAGTGTAACCCGCACAAGTTTAATTCCATTAGCACTTCTAGCCCAGTATTGGTTTGAAACCCATTTCAAGATCTGAAACCTTGAAAACACCCTATGAGCAAGGCCTCACGAGCCCATAAGCCCTCTCTTTGCACTTATCCCTTTCCCAGGAAACATCTTGCCATATGTGGCTACTGTGCCAATGCCATAACTGCCTCTCCTCTTCCCAGGAAACACCATTTGGCTCCGACTGCCACGCTCCAGTGAATAATCATCTATACCATCGTGTATCTGTGTGTTTATGCTCCGTGGTGGCTCTTACTAATGTTGTGCTGTGCTTAAGGAAAACCTACAGCGAGTAGGAAATCCACTGCCTGTCCACAACAATGTTCAGCGCTGGGAGCAGCCAGGCGAGCCTCTGCACGGGGAGATTCGGGGAGTCACCACAACTCAGGGAGCAGCCTGAGGTCCCCGTCAGGCCACCCTGCCTGCAGCCGCGGACATTGCTTTTTTTCCCAGTTACAATAAAAAAAAAAAAATTACATTTCCGTTTAAAACCAAACAAAAAAAATTGCTAAATGCAATACGATGTTTTCGATAGCGTTTCCTCCCGCGGAGCTTTAGCGACTGATGCTCGCGGAGCTTTAGCGACTGATGCTCGTGTGCGTGTGTGCCGTCATCCCGGGGGCAGCGGGGACCGTCCGGCTCCGCATCCGCCGCGGGTCCCTTCGCACCCCTCGAGGAGCATCCCCGCGTCTCCCGGCGGCTCCTCCGGGCCGGCAAAGCCGCGGACGGGGATCGCGGCTCCCGCGGAGCCTCCCCCGCCCCGGGCCGGGCCGCCCCCGCCGCGGGGACCCGTCGGAGAGCGGGGCGGGGCGGTGGGAGAAGGCGGAGCCGGCGGGCGCTGGGAAGCGGCTCCGGGAGCGCCGCGCAGTGCGGAGCGAGCCCGGGCTCGGCGGAGAGGGGTCCGGGGGCACCGCATCCCCATCCCGGCCCGGCGGAGCGGCCGCCCCCGCGGGGATTACAGGCTTGCGAGGCTGTTCCGGAGGAGCCGGGGCCGCTGCGTCTCCCCCATGGAATTCACCTGAGCGCGGCCGCGGCGGGAGAGGGACGGCGCCCGGAGGGAGCTCGCTTCGGCTCGGGAGAGAGAGGACGGGCATGACTTTTTAACCAAAACAAAAACAATCACCCCCTCCCGTAGAAAAAAAAAAAAAAAGAAAAAAAAAAAAAGGCAGCGGAATCAAAAAACCGAAAAAGCCGCCCGAAGGAAGGAAGGGACGCGCTGGACCCGCGGAGGGAGGGAGGAGGCGCCGCGGCCGCACCGCCCCGCACCGCCCCGCACCCGGAGGTGCCGCCGCTGCCCCGGCCGCCGCCGCACATGGTTTTCTTTGTCCTGCTGCTGCTCCATTAAGCGCTCCCGCTCCGCGCCCGCCGCGCTCCCCGCACACCCCCGCACGCCCCGCTCCTCCCGGGATCCATCTTGCGGGAGCGGGGGAAGGGGTCGGCGGCCCGGGAAGGATGCCCGCCCGCCCGGCCCCCGGAGTTCGCCCCCCGCGGAGGATTAGTTGGGGTTTGGCCGCGGGACGCTGAGAGAGAGCCGCGCTGGGATCGGGAGTTCCCGCACACCGCCCGCCCCTCCCGCACCGCCATGAGCCGCGGGCCGGCAGCCCCGCGGAGCCCCCGGAGCGCAGGTAACGCGGGGGAGGGCGGGGGGCTCCGTGCGGGCCCCCTGTGGATGGAGGGAGGGATGGAGGGAGCGGCCGCCTCTCCCGGGCACCCCCGGCCGGGATGAGGGGCACGGAGGGGCCGCGCTGGCTGCGCGGGCAGGTGCGGGGCCGGTGCAAGTGCCGCGCCGTGCCAGCAATGAGTCAGGCTGCGCCGTCTGCACAGGAAATGTTTTAGTCATACGGCCCCTTGAATGGCAGCGCATTCCTTGGTGAGGCAAAAAATACTCTTTAGGTCATTTTTTTTTTTTCTGTGCGGTTTGTTGGGTTTTGGTTGTTTTTTTGTTTGGTTGGTTTTTGGGGTTTTTTTTAGCCCAGGGATTGCTGAGTTGTTTCATTTCGCGGTGAAAAGGATTAAGCTGCGCTTGGTAACAAGGGGATTTGTAAGGGAAAACGGCCGAAGTGCGAGGAAGGGAACTGTGTGTCACCAGCTCCGGCTCTGTCTGTGCAGGACCGGGGAGAAGGACCCCGAAACCGGGGGGGCTCGGAGGGCAAGAACACCCCGGATAGCCCGGGGCGCCCGACCCGGTGCTGTCCCCAAATATCACGGTGCCAGCAGACACTGTCTGCTCATCTGCTGCTCAAGGAAGACCTGGAAAGATCAGGATAAAGGGGGATGAAGAGGGAGTTGCACTTGGCCGGTGTAAGGGAAGGGATAGCCGAGCTCCTCCGCCGCTCAGACATCCACGTTTGGCCACATCGCACCCGCCGTGGACATAAAGGCACTTTGTTGTCTCCACAGATCCCTGTCAGTACAGAGCAGGGTTTAGGTCAGCACTGCATAGGCACTGAATTTCATCCATCTGAGATAGTGCTGAGTCGTTGTGGATTTTTAAATTAATTTGGCTTTTTTTCCTTTAGCGTTGTTGAGTGATGTGGCTGCCTGACTGTGGAAAAATAAGAGTTGCATGGAAATTGATACACTGCCTGTCTGCTGGCAGAGATTGTATTCGCCTCTGTATCACTGGTTCATCGCCCTAATTGCTATGTTGTATTTAAACCCCGATTTTTAAATAACAGAACAGGCAGGCAAAGTTCCATCTCACCATTTGAGCCAGTGTTTGGGTTCAGGTTATTTTTATGGTAGTGCAGGCAAAGGGGTTCTTTCAAGTTGTTCTTCCATTCGGTTGTGTGTGGTCAGTAATGCAAAATGAGATTCGCTCGTGGACAAGCTTTGTCTTTGTAAAATTGCTCCTTTTTTATGTATATTGTATGGATAATCATCCCCGGGCAGGCTGTCTTGTGCACCACGTTATGTCCAAGATGTGCCACTTCCCGGTGTCACAGCACGGTTTGTGACTGGTTTATATGATAGCACAGGAAAAGGTTTCAGCTGAAAAACCGTGACTTAAAGACAATCTGTTGGTTTACACTTGGTGTTAGAACAAACTTCATAACAAGATGTTTTCCTCTTTGTAGTGCTTGGAAAAATCAAGTAAATATGCAACTTAGAGCTTCCCTGTGCTGTTTTGTTTTGAAACAGTAAAATAAAGTAATAGCTGAAACTGTAAGAAGTTTGTTTGGTTTATAATATTGGATTTTCTTTCTGAAAAGAAGGACTCATTCGGAGAGTTTTGACTTCAGAGAAAAGCTGCATTTGAAAAGACAACAACAGCTGAAATTCACTGGAAAAGAGTATTTTTAAGCAGCCTGATTGGCAAGAGTAGGAAAGCATTGAGCCTCTTGTTGGACTAATACTGGGCTGCTCTTTAAAGCACATGGCCTTCTTGATCTCTTCAATTTGTGCATTATTCACATATTTTCATTAATTTAGAGAAAGTCGTCACTGCATAATAAATCCATCATTGGGTAATAAATCCAGTGTTTACAAGGTATTTAATCGAGACAAAATGCACCAGCTCAGCTTTTAAATAAGCCAGGCGGTAATCTAGTAAAATCTGTCTAGAAGTCTGAAAAAGAATAATGCTATTTTTAACAATTAATCGTAGAAATCTTGTCTGTCGCTAACTTGAGGGCAAACAAATTATTTCAGTGTATTGCTGCACTGCAATACACAGTCTGAGCCGTGTCTGCTCATTTATCGGGAGTTTCACAGGGAAGTTTTTAGTGCAGTCGAGATAGCTAACGTCTGTGTTGCTTGTCTGATGGTTTTTATTTGGTTCTGAATTGAGAAATTCCTTCCCTTTAATAAAAAAAACCCCACAGCCTGCTTTCCAAAGAGTGTTTTTAATTATTTTTCCTGAATCCAGCACGAAAACAGTTTCTAGGAAAAAACTAAAATTTTTCTTGAGTGTTGCGTTTTAACCCTGGTTTTGCAGTGTTTTGTTACTGAGCACATTTTCCATGTATTTTCCAAAAGCAGCCTGTCTCTCACGGGGCTGGATCCAAGCTCCAGTCCCGAATCAAAGAGCATTTGTGGGTGCAGAGGAGAGAGAAGTTTAGGCTGTAGCTGGATATATGCGTGTATTGTGTGTGTGTGCCCAAACAGAGCTGCAGAAACTTAGGGGTTTGTGCTTCTGAGCTCAGGGTGTTTGTCAAATGAACATTTCCAGCGTTACCTTCCCCGTCTGCTTTTGTGCTGTTCGAGTTTCAACGTTTTTTTGTGAAACCCAGGTCAGGCTTTTTATAGCAGGTAAAGAGCTGAACTGGCGCGTTGGCACAGGAACAGCAGGAGTAGGGGGGGTGCTAACACAATATTAGGAGGAAAAACCTCCATGGATAAAGGTGTCTTGATGAAAAAGAAAAGGTTTATTAGTTGACACATAGCGTGGTGTGAAGATTCAGTTATTCAGAGGAAGGTGAATCCGGCGTGGAAATTCTGATCCTAAACACGAACTTGCTCTTTATTTTTGAAACAGTTGGTAGCAGCAGTTGATGAAATTACTAACCTAAGTTATCAGCAGTGCTTTGAAGGTGGTAAAAATCGAGTGTTGCCACAGTAGGGATCCCAAAAATACTTTAAAAATTAATTTAGAAATCTGCAGTTCTGGAAGTTCCCGGAGCTGGGCTGTGTGATTCCAAATCGTGACTCTCCTCCATCGCAATGTCGCTGTCAGAACGTGTTGGATAACGGCAGCACAAAGATCCAGTTTCCGTGCAGCTAATGTTGAAGAAAAACCCCATTTCTTTTTGAAATAGAATCTTTCCAAGGAAATCTCTGCACTGCAGGGCGGCGAAGCACAGCCAAACAGCACCACCTCATGGACACGGCCCCGGAGCCGCCGCTTCCAGCGCTCCTGGTTTTGTCTCCTGATTTGTTTCCCTAAAATATACATTCCTCTGCCTATGTATAAATACACCGCCGTGCCTTTGGAAATCTATCACTGCTACAAAACGTAACTTTTTTTTTTTTGTTTTTATTGGTCTTTCAGGCATCTGATGCCAGCTCTGAGAAACTGTTCAACGCTGTCACAAATAAAGGTAAGGCTGCAATTCACATCCCAAACAGATTTTTTTTTTCTTTCCCCACACGTTTCTTTTCATGGCAATTTCAATGGGAGATGAAATGTAACTTGTCTTGCAGAAATGTCGCAATCAGCTTGTTAGTGCTTTTTATGTTTCTCTGGGTTTCAGACGTGTTCTGTATGCTTGGTAATTGCTTTGCTTAATATAAAATATAGGCTTTAAATAATGCATTGCCTGCCAGGTCAGAATTAATTTAAATAACAATATTAGGGAATAGTTTATTTTACAAATGGCTTTAATTTAAGCTCATTTAAATAACTGTAAGAGTTTTCAAAATGTTTTAACTTGATTGTTACTCATCAGCTCCATGATAGACGTGGAATTATGAATAGCCAATTTGCACTGCTGACAGTAATAACCAGCCAACGTTTAGTATTCACAGGATAATAGTCATAAACCATGGCTTACTGTGCTGTGTGCTTTCTGTAGAGTTAATAAATGATATAGAGGGCCACATTTAAATATTCAGTATCCCATTAATTTCTTCCAAACAGCAATCCAAAGAGAGAGTGGCTAATGATATAACAGTACATTAAGGGAAAACTCGCCCTAAATCAGCACCAATGAGCTGCCCTGCAGGGCTGGGCCTGGAGCAGCGTTATTGGAAAGGCTTTGGGGATCCTTTGGTTTTAATTCTTATTTTTGATTTTGTTGGTGTTGTTGCAAGGAGGGTGGAGGGTGCAGCTCCAGGCAGGAGTTGTGCAAATGAGTGTAATTCAAAGCCTGGAAAATGTGCCAGGTTTTTACCCCACTGTCCTGCCCCTCAATGGACTCAGTAAGGGCTGAGTTTCCAGCTGTAAACCCGGGATTTTGACTGACTGGGGGTTTGGAAGGTTGGAGTCTGTTTGCATTAGAAGAGGCAGGTTTGATTGGTTTGAAATTTGGGTCTGTTTTGTTGGCCAGGTGTGGATTTGCTCGGTATTTGCCCTGTGTGCTTCTCCCTGGGTTTGGTTTGTTACTCCAGTGGGTCATTCCGGTGCTTTTCTGTGTCTTTTAATCCCACGAAGCTGCAGTGGTTTAACTGGGGACAGAACATGACCCCGTTACCTTTGGGATTCCCACGCTGATCCGCTGCTGCCTCTGAAGTCTTCTGCTGCATATTGAATTATACCTGGATTTAATTGCATTACGGATCCATAGTCCTGTTTTTCATGTATTAGCATCCTTTGGAAGTACAGTCTGGATTATTTCTTAGGTCTAACGAGGTTATCTCACTTGGCAAGCTGATCTATCCTTTGTGATTAATGGCATTTGCAGGTTCCCGGCCCCTCGGAGGCAGAGAATAGGTGGCACAGCCATTAGAAGGGAAGAGCTGCATGTCTGGAGTGACCCCAGGCCCCCAAACTACATGTGACTGCATCTTTATATTGCTAATTTGCTGTAGAAAGCTTTGGCATTTGAGCAGCCCTTTCTTGGGGTTGGACCAGGGCAGGAGAAGCCGAGGAGGAGGCAGCGAATCCACATTCCTGGCACAGGCCTGTAACCAGGGTGAGGGGCTCCTCTCCTCCCCAGGAGGTGGCTGATGAAGAGTAGGCCCCTCTTCCTCTTCCTTTGGTTTTCTTTTTTTGCCTCAAACACATTTCCCACATTCTTATTTCTGTTTACTTATGGAGCTTGGTTCGTGGCATCCCTTTGGATGTGAATACCCATGCTTGACAGGGAGCCTTTTCTTCCGAGGTACTTTTCTTTGGTGATTTAGTTCCCTTGAAAGGATTAGGGTTTCTTTGTGTAGCCTAAAATCAACATGGGCTTTTCGAAGCTTTGCTTGGGAAACCATACACAAATAAGCTTTTTAGTTGATGGTAGATTATTCCTTTGCCCCTTATTTCCATCAAAATGGCATCTTTCTTTTCTCCTCCTGAGTTTCCCCTTAAAGCCATATGCTAATTCCTGTTGGTAACATGAATGACAAGGGAGGAATCAATGCAAATCCAGGTGCGGCCAAACTAGGCTGGCTGGTATTTTCTTTTTTCTTTTTTTTTTTTCCCTTTTTTTTTCTTTTTTCTACTGGGAGAAAGAGATTAAGGGGAAAGAGGACAGAAAAAGCATGGGGGACAGTTTTGTCAAAGGGATTAGCATTCAAACTACTAAATATCAGGAAAAAGAGCCTCAGAAAAGCTCCCCTGTTTGGAGATAATGTCAGTAATTGCTGGCAGGCAGGTGCAGGGCTCTCACCATGCTGGGGAGGCTGTTGCCTTCTCTAAGTGTGTGCCCTGGGGACGCTGTGGCTGCCCGGGGGCTGTCAGTTTGATATATTCCAAGTTCAAGTTCCCTTTCTGCAGTTCAGTCTGTTTTGCTTCCAAGCCAGTTCTTCCCCACTGTGTGTTGTCCACGGCCGCTTTTGCCAAAAGCAATAAAAGTCACTCGTAAGAAAGGTCAGATTTGCATTGGGTAAATCCTGATGGAACCTTCAGAGCTGCCAGGCTGGGAGGGCTGGGCAGGCTGGCAGTGTCCACAGCCAGCCCTCTCAGAGATCCCACAGCCACTCATGGCTCACACAGTGTTTGTTTTTTTTGCCGTCTTGCCACTTATTCCCCCCCACCCCCCCGAATTATTTATAACTGAGGTAGCAGAAATTACACAAGTAATGTATTTATGGAGCCTGTAGAAATCCTGAAGCATTTCAGCTCTTGTATACACATTTTGTCCCCTTTCTGTCATTTAGTTGTGGACTTCAAGGCTGAAGATAAGCTCAAGGAGGGATGGATTGGTGTGGATGTGTAAGGGACAGTCCCTTCCTCAGAAACACTAAGAATTAAAGAAATCTAGAGCACAATGAAATCACCCCAAAACCTCCCTTGAAGAGCTGGTGAAACCCCTTGAGGAGAAGTCTCTCAGCTCCCATTTAGGAGTTAGTGCCCTTGAAGCTGAACGGGAAGGTGCATCCCTGAATCTGGAAGGCCCTGTGAGTTTTGGGGGGCAGCAAGTGGATGCTGGGGCCCCTCAGGGCTGGGACATGTGTCAGAGCCGAGGGGTGGAAAGGGCTGTGGGGTTCCCACCTCAGCTCCCTGCTGCCACTGCTCCCGGAGGTCCCAGCCCTGTGCTGTGTCTGCAGCAGGCTGGGAATTTGGGAGGGATATGGTTTGGTCCCCAGAGCAGGAACTGCTGCAGCTGCCACTGAAGTGAGTTGTCCCTGCACTCCAATTGCTCTGCAGGGAACACTTCACCTTGTAATGCTGAAATTATCCAGGGAGATGGTTCCCATGGGAATCCAGGTGGCTGTGCTGGGAGGTGAGCACCCAAGGGTCTGGGCCCATGGTAATGCTTGACAAAGGAGCTGTCAACATCTGAATAAATGAGTTGGAGAAGGGCTGGCAGAGAAGTGCATCCCCGCCTGCAGCTCCCTCCCTCCTTCCCTGCGGGTTGGCCCTTCCAGTTTGGAATTCCTGCTTATGCTCTGTGTGTCTTTGAAGGAACAGAACTGCTCTTTACCCTCTGGGAGTGTCACCTCAGCACCACTAATCCCGGCCAGAGTACAGGGTTTGTTCAGGAATTTTTGTAACGTGACTTCTCAGTGTAATTAAATTCCATTTTCTCTTAATAATTTAAATAGACACATCTGAAGCTGCAGAGCAGGCAGCTCATTCTGTGACTGTGTAGTTCATTTATGTTAACTCCCTCCTACATACCCTTGGAAAACAGCTTTTCCTGGAGGGAGAAACGAGTCCCAAAGTGGTGAAGTTTTCGTTTGTGCCGTATATTGAAGTTTGCCTTTGATCAGAAACACAATTGGGCTGTTAGAGCCTTTTATGTTCAAATTGTTTACAGGATGTTCATGTAAACTTTATGAATCCTTCTGCTGTGTGGCACCACCAGCTGTCAGGGAAATATTTATACTCTCAGTTGGAGGTAGATCAAGGCGTCTGGGTTAGGAGGCTTCACTGGTGGCTGAAATACCAGTCGGATCAAGCTCTGGCTGTTTAGGTGGTTCTGCAGCAATATCCTGCCCTGGAAAAACAGTCATGTTGTTGTTTCTCCCCCGTCTGTCTGTGGTGAAGCGTTTCTTGAGGATCCTCTACATCTGTTTCTGTAAACAAGTAGGGAGCTGAAGTTGGCAATTCCTCCCTGCTGATGCATTCACAGGAGATCCTTGGCTGTGGAGAGGTGCTCTCACTCTTAAGTAAACCATCCCCACGGCATCTCATGCTGAATATAAGTGGATCCAGTGCTACACAGACAGCACGTGTGCAGTATTAGCACGGTCAGTGGGCCTGAGAACTGGCTGGGGCTGCCTCCCTCCTTTCTAGGGGTCTGTAGGAACCCACAGAACAGCCTCACTCACTTGGGGTGTGTTGTCAGCATTGCTTTCGATTTGTGGGGTTGCTGCTGTCCACATATGTTGGCTCTTCTTGCTGCTCCTTCTCAGTGAAACGCTTCTCCCTCACTTGCTCTGGGAGCCCTGGAGCAATCCCAGCAGTGCAGGGAACCGGGTATGGGCCAGCAAACCTCAGGGACTGCTGAATCACACCAGCTGTCCCCCTCTGTGGTGGATCTGATGGCTCACCCTCCCCAGGGGACACCCTGACCGTGGTGTATCCCGACCTTTCCGGTGGTGGCTTTGAATCACTGGTTTGCCTGTGTTTTCATGGGTTTCAAATGGCTTTTCAGTATTTTCCATGTGAAAGCTCAGTGTCTCATTAGTGAGGGACTGAGCACTGGAAAAAGCCTCTGGTTTGGAGAGCCCGTGTTCCTGGTACCCGTGAGTTAAATCAGAAGAGCTGGTGTGTCACTTCACTCTGACTTCTGAGCCAGGCAGATGGAAAGGTCGATAAATGTCTGGAGATGGTGCTTTGTTCTGGTACACAAAGGAGTGAGGCAGTTACTCCAGTGCCAGGAATTTGCTCCATAACATCCCTGACAGCGGCATCTCCAGAGCACAAACCCCTCCTCACCATCCCTACTCTTTCCGTGCCCCTTCTTCTCTACGTGCTGGTGGCTTTTTGACTGGGCTGTGG